GAGGCATAGGAACATCATTATAGGAGGTGTGTGTGTGTGGGAGGGTATATTTAGTTTGAAGAGTTCCCAGGTAACTCATACATTCCTCTGCAGCAACACGGCTTCTGAACAAGATTCAGTAATTTAAGCACAGAAGTTTGAGCTCTTCCTAAACCAGCTACATTTTAAATACAACTTGAAAGTCTTTACACCTAAACCTTGGGGAGGGAAAAAGAAAAAGACCTTATCATTTGGATGTTACAAGGAAAGAAGAAAATGGCTAAGCAATTACCTGTGCCTCCATTTTCCCAGTCTAGTTTTAATAGTTTCATTTCTCACTTGGGAATTCTTTTACTTTCCATTAATGTTAATGGCTCCTTCAAGATCAGAACTTAGCTGTACTAGCCCCCTGTTTAAGAGGTATATGGAGGTGCTTGTTAGGTCCTAGGGTTTACCCAAATAGCATGAATCTTAAACTACAGATAGAAATCTTATCTGTAAGCAGCTACTGTCCCTTTTTACAGTTAGAGTTCATTAAAAGATTTGGGCCCTGTATTCATACTAAAAAATGAAATAATACATGGATATTAGAAAGTAAAATGTTTAGAGATTTTAAAAAAGCAAATAGTGGCTTTCGGAATCATCAGCTTTTAGGGAAAAATTAGGAAGGGGCTTCAGAAGGTTCAGAATTCTCTTTTATATCAATAAGGAATTGGCAGGTACTGTCTTAATCCTGGACAGGATTTACTTAAGTGTTGGGGAAGCATCAGGGAAAAATGGTTTTACTGAGCTATTTTTAAAATTTTTGCACCATATATCTTAGAGATGGAATGCTTTTATAGAGAGGAACTTGCTATTTGAGAACAAATCTTTGAGGATCATGATGGATCAGTCAATTAATGGTATGGAGATAGGAGGCTCACCTCTTAAAAAAGCAAATTTGACTCCTATATCACACAATATAAAGTTGATGACTTACATGTAAAAAGTGTTTTGTAGTGCTTGAGGAAAATATAGGTAAATTGTATAACTACTGACATTAGTAAGTCATCTAAAAACCTAACACCAGAAGCCAAAATCATCATAAACCTCTCTAGTAAAATTCACCACAAAAAATTAAAATAGATATTTTTCTCTCATATATAAGTCAGGTTGGGGAAGTGTTTGAAAAATATATATCTAACAAAGAATTTTCTTTTTTAAAAAGATTTTATTTATTTATTTGACAGAGAGAGAGAGAGAGTACAAGCAGGGGGAGGGAGAAGCAGGCTCCTGCCGAGCAGAGAGCATGACGTGGGGCTCGATCCCAGAACCCTGGGATCATGACCTCAGCCAAAGGCAGATGCTTAACCGACTGAGCCACCCAGATGCCCCTAACAAAGAATTTTCTTAATTTATAATGAAATTTCACAAATAAATAGGAAATAAAAATGGAAAAAAATGAAAATCTTTATGCTAAAGTGTTAAATAGGCATTTCATACATGCAAAAGAATAACCAGTGAAATGAAAATGTTGAAAATCAGTAGCAACATGAAAAGATGCATTATAGGGGTGCCTGGGTGGTTTAGTTGGTTAAGCGACAGACTCTTGGTTTCGGCTTAGGTCACGATCTCAAGGTGGTGGGATTGAGCCCTGTGTTGGACTCCATGCTGAGCATGCGGAGTCTGCTTCAGATCTCTCGCCCTCCCTCTTTGCCCCTCCCCCCACTTGCTTGCACTCTCTCTCTCTCTCTAAAATGCATAAAGTCTTTAAAAAGAAAAAAAAAGATACATTATAAAAAATGATATGTAATTTACATCCTTTTTGACAAAGGACAAATAGTTTGGTAATGCCATATGTTATCGGAGGTATGGGCAGAAATATACTCTTACACACAGCTTGTGGGGTATGCATTGATACCCTTAAGAACATTCAGTTCTATTGGCATTGAAAGTTTGCATACAGAATTTATTGTAAAGATAAAAGTAAATCAATGATAAAGATGCACGTACAAAGATATTATTTTATATCCAAAATGTTAAGTTCCATGGGAGCCCAGAATTAGTCTATTTTATTCTGTTCTATGAAAATTATCTAGAACAGTGTCTGACACATGGTAGGTACTTAATAAGTACTTACTTTTGTTGTACTTGTTTGTAATAATGATAAAAAGCAATTTAATGTGGGGTGGCTGTGTGGCTCAGTCAGTTTAAGCATCTGACTCTTAATTTTGACTCAGGTCATGATCTTGGGGTCATGAGATCAAGCCCCATGTCAGGCTCCGTGCTCAGTGGGGAGTCTGCTTGAGATTCTCTGTCCCTCTTCCTCTGTCCCTCCCCCTGTACATGTGTTCTCTCTCTCTAAATAAATAAATCAATAAATAAAATCTTTTTTAAAAAAGCAATTTAATGTGTAAAAATATAGAAATGGTTATATAAATTAGAATACATTCAAGAAATAAACTTTTATGCAGTTATTTATTTATTTATTTATTTTTAAGATTTTGTTTATTTAGTTGACAGAGAGAGACACAGTGAGAGAGGGAACACAAGCAGGGGGAGTGGGAGAGGGAGAAGCAGGCTCTCCGCTGAGCAGGGAGCCTGATGCGGGGCTTGATCCCAGGACCCTGGGACCATGACCTGAACCAAAGGCAGATGCTTAATGACTGAGCCACCCGGGCACCCCTTTTATGCAGTTATTTAAAAGAAAGATAGGAAAAGTGTGTTATGCAAGGACTTTTATTTTATATTATATATATGTACATATATCATTTAAAAAGCAGGTAATTTAACATTATGTTCAGTATAGTCTCATGTTTCTAAGTGTTTTAAAATGGTGTACATTGAAAGGTTAGCTGTGGTGAGATATCATGTAATATTTTTTCTAATGTCATATTGTTACGTGTTACTTGCCAAATAAAATAATAAAATGAATTAGTGAAAAATTCATGTGAATAATTCTCCACAGCTTATGGAACACATTTCATACTGATTAATATTGCTAAAGGCTTCTGTGATCTTACTCCCATTGTCCTTTGCATTTTAATCAACTACTTTCTCTTCGTGTACCCTTTGTTTCAGGCAACCTGAGCCCCTAACTTATCTACAAAGATAACTCCATTCTATTATGTCTATTTTAACATTGCTTCAAATATTTTCTTTTTCTGAAAAGACCTTACCTTTTATTTCTGTTAAAATTCTTTTATTTGTCCAAGATGTCTTAATAATAAAATCTTCAATTTTTGAACACATAATTTTTAATTTAAATTATTTTCATTCCTCTATGTTGTATCGCTCTTGTGGCATTTAACTCTTTACATATTATATTTCTGTTTTCTAAACATGTAATTTTCACTATAGAATACGTTTTTTGATGATATGGACTAATGTCTTATTTATCACTTTACACTGTATAATGCAGAGCAAAACACCTTGAGTAGAGCAGATGATTTTTTTGAATTACTGAGCTGAGATGTCAGAAAAAAGTTCGAATACAGTCTTACTCCTATAGAAGAAAAAAAAGGAAAAAAGATAATGTTTATAAGATAGCTTAAAGTTCTAAAGGGAAAGTTCAAAATATTTGGCAAGTTTTTATTTCGCTTACAAAATAAGAGTTTATGTATATATTCTTAAATTTAACTAATTCAAGTATAGAGCATTGGAATGAGGGATATTTTTAAACCATTGTTTTATTCATTCTGGGTCATTGTTTTCTGTCATTTTACGGCAATTAATATATGTCACTGATCTTATCAGATCACACATGCAGGAATCAGAGCAAATGTGATTTTGAAGCTCTCCTGAGTAAGAGATTTGGAACTGATATATGCCCGCAGAAGTTTTTGTGATTTTCTCTAACTTCCAAATATCTGAAATCTTTCAGAGCTGATCCATTTGAGAATTTAAGACCAGAAAGTTTAGATAAGCATCTTAGGAATTATGACTATGTTTTCTCAAATGTGGCAGGTGTGCAGCACTTTATTTTGGCTTTCATACAGAATCTTAATCCATGCAGGAAGTATGCCACTTTATCTGTCTCAGTCATTAGTTCTACTGACACCACTAAGTTGGGAGATCCAAATTGCAATCACGGATAGCACACACCTGTTTAATACTTAACAGCTCTTGTCATGGTGGTCATTTAAAAAGAAGGTGGTTCTAAATGCATCCTTATTTCCTGGGCAAGTCATTGTGGGGTAGGCACATTTCCTCACCGAGACACTGGTCTGACCTTGCTTCTGTGGCCATCGAGTCCTTCCACTCTGCCATTAGCAAGCAGTCATTCAGCTGTGAGGTCCCTGTTGCCTCGGCTGGACCCTCAAAGCACTCTGAACTTAGAGTACTCAGATGCTCCAGGACTGGCTATTTTTATTTCTGTTTTTCCCAAGAATGGCCAAGTAGGTATGTGTTAGACTTGAGTTTATGAAAGAGCCGAAGCAAAGCAGCCTGTTCCACAGTGAAAAACAGGGAAGTTTCACTATGAGTTGCCCCAACTCTCTGAGCTGGGGATGAGCTGTGCTGATTTATTTTGAAAGGGTTTTTGCTCAGATCTCATTACAGTGCTTAAGAGGCTGCCCCAACTGTCCTCAGGTATGAACAGGAGAATAAACTACAGCCCAGGGAGAGGGTTGAGCACAGATGTCCTATTGATATAGGGCCTTTTTCTTTATTATCAACAGCAACAACAATAACAGCAACCGTCACCATCACAAAAAACAAAGATATTTTCTATTTTTTGCTTATACCCACAATGCATGTCTAGTCAGGTTGCCCATTTGCCTGGAGAACACCACTAAACTGCTTTCAGACCATTTTTTTCATGTTACTCATATGATTATGTTGTAATGTTGCAGATGTGATCATGGATATTTAAAAAATACAGTTGAATTGTATTGTAATTTGCTTTTTTCCCCTCGGTTTTCAAAGCTCAGGCACTTTAACAGTTTACAAAAATATTTTAGGGTTTCATTTTTTTCCAGATTAAGACAATGTATGCCTATAGCATTATTTAAGAAAATGGTGTTTTTCTCTTTCAGACTCATTATCAGAGAGCTGAATTCTAAATCAGAGACTGCGGAGGAGAGATGTGCAACCTGAATAAAACATTTCCAGAAGAGCCTGAATAATGGTCCTGAATAAAGGGAACTGAAATGTTCTTGAATTATAATTGGGAAAATTTTAAGTGTGTGTACTCAGGAACACATGTACTAAGAAGAGGTTAGTTGTTATTATTCTTTGTGCTATTTAACATTTATGGGGCCCCCAAAGTATTTTTAGTTCTGAATTGAACAGAAGTGGTCTGATAAGTGAGCTCCCAACTAAATTAGCCATGTGGAGATTCACCTGTAATCATTCTCTGGGTGGAGAGAGGCAGTGTTGATAAACTACTCCTGAATAAGTGGACTGTTTATACAGCCATAGAGTCTAACTCACAGCAAAATAAAATAATTAGTTCAGACAAATATGGCCTTTAAAAATATCACTTGACCCTTTTTTTCTTTTACCTAATTTCTCTGTGGCAGGGCATTCAGAAATTAGCAAACACATTTGTTGGGTTGATACAAGTTTACTGAGAAATTGGAGAAGGAAGTAAAGATGGAAAGATGAGGAAGACTAAAGATTAGGGTCAATCTCTGACTCCAACAGCTTTATGCTCCACAGGTAAGTAATCTAATATTGTTTCTTCTTTGTCTCATATCAACAATATAGAATAAAGAGTGATGGCGACTTTTGAGAAACTGCCTCTGATACTTAATTCTGAAAAGCTATGGTAGAAAAATTTCTGAAACAGTAAATATTATAGCCCGGAGGAAATTAAAAAATAAGAATGCTTAATCCTATGATAATTGAATATTAGATAGAGTTGAGAAAGGTAGATATGTGAGCTGTGATAGAATCTATAAGAATGAATACATGCTTCTATATGTAAATTTCTGTGCCTGTTACTTAATAGGCACAAAAGTAAAAAGTGGTCCTACCACCTAAGAAGAAACCAAACATCCACCCGTAATTATAATATAGGGGACACTTTGAATTCTAAGCTAAGAAATATAGACTTTATTCTTTAACCATTGGGGAGCTGTTGAAAATATTTGAGCAGGTGAGTGGCATGTCCAGAACTGTGTTTTATGAAGATTAACCTGATGGCATTTTCAGGATTGATTAGCGTGAAGCCTGTATTGTGACAGAACAGATTGTGGTAATGCAAGTCTGAAATATGGTGGTGGCAATGAGAATAGAAAGGAAGAAATTGATTTGAAAGATCCATGACAGTGGACTACAGGACTTGATTATTAAATATGTGACCTGCAGTAGGGAGATGTCAGTGATGACTCCAGATACTTTGAGACTGGATGAGAAACCAAGTATGGAAGTTTCAGAAAGAATGTCCTGACTTTCAATGGTTTATTATTATCTCTTGGATGCTGTGAGTCATGTAATCAATTACATTCCAAAAATCTTGGGCCCAAATCCATGTTCCACATCTACTAAGCATGCTGTGTCATCCTGCCATTTATTTTTTGCACAGTCATGCATTGCCAACCATAGGTATGAACTTACTGAGAAGTATAGCATGTGGGAAAACTATAGTTGACTACACCAAGAGAATGCAGAGAAATTTCATTTAATGTATTTTTAAAAATTTAACTTCAGTAAATAAAAATTTTAGTAAAAATCCACTTCCAAAATAGACCAGATCATTGAGTTAGAAATCTTTCTTAAATTTATCTATCTCACTGAAACCAACACTAAACAAACACACACACACACACACACACACACACACACACACACACAGGTAACTTTTCTCTGAGATCACTGTTAGTTGTTCAGGAAATATTGCTGAAGTGGTGTAATGTGCTAGGGCAGATTCTTTTAGAATTTTTATATTATGCAATGTGAATTTCATTTTAAAGAGTTCAAACAACCCCTTACTGACTCGAAAGTTAATGTATCTCACACTTACATTCTCCTTTGAATTTTTAGCAAGTTTCAGCCGAGTGCTTATTTAACTGCTTCACATGTTCACAAATTGCCAAGATCCTGAAGGACATGTATTTCTACTCTTCTCTCCACATATTAAAGCATACGGGTTTTAAATAGATGCCTTATACTTGAAGCATCGCCTAGACTCATTTAAATGGTTCAGAAAACTGGTAAAGTAATAATTCCAGTAGACTCTTTTGCTTAAAGGGATTGGGACTATTCTTTGTGGAAATATATGTGTGCCATTTAAAAATTTTATTCATAGGGGTGCCTGGGTGTCTCAGTCATTAAGCATCTGCCTTTGGCTCGGGTCGTGATCCCAGGGTCCTGGGATCGAGCCCCGCATCAGGCTCCCTGCTCGATGGGAAGGCTGCTTCTCCTCTCCCACTCCCCCAGCTTGTGTTCCCTCTCTCACTGTGTCTCTCTCTATCAAATAAATAAATAAAATCTTTAAAAAAATAAAAAATATATAAATTTTATTCATATGTAACTATTCTGCAGAAAAACAAAAACATGATTGGTAAAACCACAGTTAGTAAGGCATTTTACTAATTTCATTTGTGATTTTAAATATATTCCACTTTTATTTTCCTCTTTTTAAATTTCTTGTCTTTAAAACTTTATTTTCTTTAACAATATGTGTTTTCATTCTCAAACTGTAGAGGTATCATGGTGGTACAAAAAGCCAGAGGATAAATGTCACTATCTTTATGGAAAGTATGAAAATGTTACTCTAATTTTTGGGGACAGGTTCTAGCAGTAAAATAAAGCTTTAGCCGTAAAATAAACATTTACTGTTGTTTTTGTGTGTAGGCAGCATTCACAGGAATTTAAGTGATAAACTCAAAATTTCAAAAGGATGTAAGGTTTGGAACAGGCAGCTTTATACTCTGCCCATGTTTCTGAAGGACTTGCTCACAAAGTGATGTGAGCTTAGTGGCCAAGACTTCCAAGTATTAGGATCAGACAAATTTGTTTGTGTTCTGATTCCATTATTAACTAGCTGGGGGGCCTTGGTATTTATTTAATTTCTGTAAATGTTAGCTTCATTGTCTGTAAAATGGGAGTATTACTATACTATGTGGTTACAAAGATGAAATAAGATATTGAGTGTAAAATACTTAGTACACCCTGTCACATGATTGGTGGTTCACCTATGGTTGCTTGTATTAATTCACACCTGCTATTAGCATTATATGGTGCTCGTAAGAGAAGATACCTGTTTGATATTGTGAATTTTAAACACCTTCCTAGGGCACCTCATAAGTTGGACAGTTGTTTTCCTGTTCATTGCTGTGTCAACTTTGTGTTTTTTCCTTCATTACCCCATACATCTCTACATTGTCATTGTGATTTAATAATCTGGTTGCCTTTGTTACTACAGGGAAAGTGTGGCTTCCTGAGTACTCGTTCTGGGAGTGGATATGGATCTCCCAGTATACACTAAGTGGGGATAGGTTTGTGTAAAATCATATCTAAACCTAAAATTCAAATATTGTTCATTACAAATTTTATTTGTATATTTCCATCTTGACTGAAAACCAAAATACTTTATCAACTTGATAAAGTATGGAGAGTGATCCTGGGGATTGCCTGGGTTTCTCTCCTTCAACACAGGCTTAATTTTGGAAGTGTGTGTGTGTGTGTGTGTGTGTGTGTAAACAAAGTTGTTTAAAATCACCAGTTAACATATTCTCCTTGTCAAAGATCAGAGGTAATGAATGCTTGGCTCTTTAAGGTTAAAGTATTTTGAACATTTTGAGGATTTCTTATATGTGGAAAGATTTGGAGTTGTCCTTCATTCATAGGTGGGTGTGAGATTATCTGAGGAGCTGTGTCCTTCTCAGACCAGGACTCTTTGAGTGTGGGTTCTCAAAACGCAGGGAATTAACCACTGCTAGGACATGAGCTAATTTTAGGTAGGAGAAAAACAAACACTTTTTAACTTTAATAGCTGAGATTTTTAATTTAAGTGTGGGGTAGTAAAATAACAGCTAGTGAAATAAACCAGAGATTTCATGAGATAACTGGAATTAATGTGAAATCAAATAGGTAGTGTCAGTAGCAAATATCTGTATTCTTTTCTCATGATACATGACATGTCTTATAAGGATTTGGCCAGAATTATGAAGATATTATATAAATGATTGAAGTTTTGTTAAAACTGCCCTTAAAAAGGAAAAAAAATCAGGTGAATCATGTATTTTTCACTCCATCTTATTTCAGTGATGGATACTGAGCATTTTGTGCTTTCACCACCAATGAACAAGGGTGAATGCATTAGACTAATATCTTCCAATGGAGAGAATATAAGCAACTTTGTATGTACTGTCTGCTAATGCATTTCTTTTGCTTACTTTGGTTTAAGGTAACACAGCAACTCGTTTTAAATTGTACATTGTGAAGAAAGCCGATCAGTTTTAAGTAGGGTTCGTATTCCACGTTAGAAAATTTAAATATCCAGAGAACACATATTGGTTAAATCTGTGGGCACATTTTTTCGTTGACTTGTACATTCAACCAATACTGATTAAGCTTCTATTTTCTCTTTGAATTAACTATAATATACTTATTACAATATTCATTTTTTTAAAATTTTAGTTTAATTTTTGTTGATATCAGGAAAAAGAAAGCCACTCACACTTATTTGTTAGGTAAAATTATCATAGATTTTATTATTTTTCTTGTTGTAAGAATCTAAAGCAGTGTTTTGCAAGTATTAGGTCATGCACCATCTTAAGAAGTCTCCTGAGATACCTTCCAAAATGTAAGTTCTCTACAGGTGGGGTCTGGAAGTCCATAATTGTAATGAGTTCTTAAGGGATTTCTATTTGTACTTCAAAGATTGGGAGCCACTGAAGAAAAGAGTACGGACTGAATATAGCATTTGTGCAGAATTCTACATATAGATAGATGTTAAACACACTCCTTAAATAATTAATAAATATGGTTCTGTAATTGGAAGAATAGCTGATTGGTTTTATTCTTCTTTCATTCTCAACTCCCCTCTTTTCCTTTCCCTTTCCCTTTCTCCTTCTTGCTTCAAACCCCCTCCAAAGGCAACCACACATAGGTCCCTAACTCCTTAACTAAGACTACTTTGAAAAAGTTGATTCCTCCACTATTATCTTTATATACTCTTGGAGACCACCCAAGTACAATGTTTCAATTTCATTTCCTTTTCAAAAATGCTTAAGAAGTGAACAATGCACATACAATGCTCTCAATCTAGAAGCTGAAAAATAAAGTGCCTTGTTTCAGAGAATGCTGTGGCTTGAATAGGTGACTGTGCTTTAAGATATTTTCATTGATTCATTTGATTCACTTTCTGTTGAGCTGATCACAAATTACCAGAGCAATTGTCAGTTTCAGGATAATAATATTACTACTTCTAGCTGTACCTTGGTGAGGAAAAAAAAAATAAAGGGAAAGTTAAACACATCTTGTTCTAATGCAGAGATGAATAGCACTGAAAGAGCCCCATTGTGGTGCTTCTGGCATTGGTCAACAAAGCTGAAAAGCAACATGGGACAAACAAGGAAAAATGGGGCAATGTTCCCATAAATTCAAAATTAAGTTCCTTCTTCAATTTCCGTGAAGCAAACTCCCCGTGGTGAACATCTGGCAGGCCATTAACTTTTGTTACTTTATTTTATTAAAAAATCTTAAGGTGA